ACAAAACACCTATCGGAATGTCGCCATTCTGGTTGGTATTCGGAAAAGCTTGTCATCTTCCGGTGGAACTAGAGCAGAAGGCAATGTGGGCTTTAAAGAAGTTGAATCTTGATTGGGATGTAGCAGCTAACTTGAGGGTTGCACATTTGAATGAATTGGATGAGTTTCGGTACCATGCTTATGTGAGTTCATCCTTGTACAAAGAAAAGATGAAATATCTTCATGACAAATACATTTGGAATAAAGAGTTCAAGGTGGGCGATCTTGTATTGTTGTTTAACTCAAGGTTGGGGATGTTTCCGGGGAAGCTAAAATTCAAGTTGAGTGGTCCTTTTGAAATTGTTGGTATGGCACATTTTGGTACATTAGACTTGAAGAACAAAAACAATAAAGTATTCTGAGTCAATGGTCATCGGGTGAAGCACTACTTGGGCAAGGTTGGAGATAGCCACGTAGTGGGGGTCATTCACTTCATTTGAGGGTATTCTGCGTCGTACCGCGATGTTAAATCGGGCGCTTCTTGGGAGGAAACTCATGTTCATTTCCTTTTTCTTTTATAGTTAGGTGTTATTTGAGTTCTAACTTGATTTAAAGTGTGTTGCAGGGATGAGTGTGACTTACAAGAGAGGTGGACAAAAATATGGCTAAGTGTTCAAGATTGTGGGGATAACATTTTATTTGTGCGGACCGTACATTTCTATGTGCCATGGCAGAAGAGCATTGTGGCCGCACATTTCTCTTGTGGACCGCACATTTAAAATATTAAAAGAAGTGTCAAAATACTAACTCTCTAAAGTTTGAGCTTGTTAGTGCGGAGGTTGATTTGCGACTGCACGTGAAATCTGCGGCCGTACCTGAAAATGTGCGGACCCCATATTAGGTTCTGAGACGAGTCCACCAGGTGACAGAGTGCAGACCGCTCATGAAAATATACGGCCGCACTCGCTTATTTCTCCTTCTCAAATAGTTGGTATAAATAGAGGAATAGGGCTCATTTTACACTTTTCCCTCTCTGAACAAAACAATGTTGCTCTGTTGATTTTTCTTGAGAGATTTTAACTGTCCTCACACACAACCACCTTGATTATTCACTCATTACACTCACTCTACTTGGTATGCTTCAATTTCATGTTAAATTTTTTGTGTTAGTTTAATTTTTAGATTTTTAATCTTTTTAGGCCATCTATTATTAGAGTTCAATTATGTGTCCATGTGGGGTAGATCTGAACTGGGTAAACTTAATACATGCTCTAATGGGTTTGGGTTAGTGAAATTTCATATTTTTACAATGTTGCCATGTCTATTTATGCGAGAATTTGAAAAACCTAAGTAGGCAGAATAAGACTGTTCGTAACTTTTTGATATATGCGGTCGCACTTGAATTTGTGCGGTCTGCAGATTGGAAATTTTGGCAACTTAGTGAAGAAGAGATTTGTGGCCGTAAGTTAAAATATGCAGACCACAGATTTCCTTCTGTGGCCGCAGTAGGCCATTTCTCTATCATCAGAGACTCAGCAGTTTTGAGAGTCTGAAGTAAGACCGCAAGTTAAAATATGCGGACCGCACTTCCTTTCTGAGGCCGTACAACAAATATCTGCGGACCGAAACTCCCTTCTGCGGCCGCACATCAAAAATGTGTGGCCCCGTAGATCCCTTTACCTGCAAACATGTATTACATTCATAACCCCACTGTGTCCAATTGTTTCTCCCTTACCTACATAAGTCCTGAATGTGTTGTATAATGAATTGCAACTAACATTATTCTTTGTTTTGATACAGACAATGGTTCGATCAAGAGGTCGAGGTGACACTTCAAAGGGAAGAGGTGAATCTTCTCGGGATCAAGGTAGAGGTACCTTGCCCCTTGTCCAGCCTAAGACAATTAGGAAGAAAACCACAGCCGGCAGAGGGAGATGTGTCAACCTCTCCGAGTCTAGCTCCTATGTCCTGTATAGAAAAGTGTCAGAGGGCAACTCAGCCTCTGTACAGGAAGAGCAGATAGCCACAAAGTCAAGTCCACAGGGGAGATACCATCTCAGGGATGAGCCTTCTTCATCTCACAATACCTCTGAGGGGTCGGAGAGTGCTAGCCAGGCTTCTGAGCCATCAGCTACACCAGTCACAGAAGCACAGACTATAGAGGAGATCCCCGATGATGGTAGAGGGGGAGATGGTATAGCCACAAGTGTAGAGAGATCAAAGAAGAAGGAGGTCTGGGAAGATAGGTTTGTCAGCTTGGCCACCTTCACTGATTTTCATATGTGATGGCCGGTGAGGTCGTTGACTCTTGAGAGACAGTTCCTATTGAACGATTTGGAGACATACAACCCGGCGATCTTGAGGCAATTAAGAGCACGAAAGGGGTGGATGTGGTTCACTTAGAGAGTGGAGGATGCCAAAGAATACCTCATCCGAGAGTTCTATGCTAATGTTGCTCATATAAAGAAGGGGATGAAGGTGACCAAAATGCGCAACCTCAAGGTGAGGTTTAATCAGTGATGTGTGGCTATAATTTCATAGTTTCGTACATTATGTGCCTTGCATTTTACAAGCTTTAATGATAAATTACACTTTATTTGCGCATAATGGAGTCTATTTTATGTGAAGGTGAATTAGAGATGAAAGTAGAGCAAAAGAGACACTTAAACGTTGAAAGTGTGCTCGAGAACAGTGAAAAGGAGAGACCTGGCGAGGCCAGCCAAAGGCCAGGCTGAACCAGGCATTAGGCTGGCGACACCAGGCCTGGGGCCAGGTCCAATCCGAATTTTGAAGGCTTATTTCGTCTCCTGGTTTGACTAGGACTTGACCTGCACGTTTAGGTTTTATCCTACACATATAAATAGACCTAAAAAATGCCACTTTGGGGTGGAGACCGAGATTGGACAGAGAGACCGACATTAGACCGGGGATTCGACCTAAGGAGGAAAGAACACACTAGGAGCAAGGCGGAGAATTCTTCTACGAGTTTTTCACTTCCTTCTTTCTATTTTCATTATTGGTTATGAATTCTAGTATTGTAGTTATGCATACTATTATGAATAGCTAATTTTTTATCTAGGGTTTTGATGGAACCTATTGGAGGATGATTTTCTTGTTACGTTAATATAGATTTGACGTAGTATTTTCTCTATTTGTTCAACTATATTATTCTTGTGGTTGATTGAAGGGCCCTCAATTAGCTGTGCCTATTTAGTATGTATTACTCGGGAGAGAATGCATATTTAGGTAGTTGTTGAACAACATCACTTCTAAATGTATATGAGGGATCAATACGGAAGGTTTAAAGGTGGGATTAGGGATAACAAAATATTGGTGCTATCTGAGTGAGTTATACTTAATGCCAGCTAGCGTAATTCGGAAGAATATGTCTAGTAAATTGTGGTAATTACTTGGGAGAGAGTTACAACAGTTAGAGTGCTCATGATCGATAGAGAAAACTTAGGCAAATTTATAGGAAACGTAGCAGAAAGAATCCGACAATTGAAAAAATCATAACTCTAGACCTCCTTAGTCTTGTCTAGAATTTCATCCATGTTAGTTGATAATTTTACTGCTTTATAATATTTGCTAGTTAATTAGTAAAAATAAAAATCAAATCTTTATAACTAGAAAATTATTTGAACTTGTGTTTCTTTATAATATTGAACAGTTGTAGCTAAGCCTTAGTTCTCTGTGGGATTATCCTTTTAACCTGAAATTTTTGCAGTGTGGGAGGCATGGGTGTCTTGCCCGAGTTGCATGATACTAAGGAAAAGGAAAAAAGTGAGAAAGTTGTTTATTAAAATTATAATGAAGCCTTACACAATTGAGATTTTTTTTGTGGCAAAAATTTATATTAGAGTATCAAAATATGTTGATGAAATTGTTGAGCTATGACATGTTTCCTACAAATTTAGATAAGTTGTTGGAAGTTAAAGTTTCTTTTGAGATGTCTTTATTACTTAGTTGAGAAATACTATAAGATAATATTGTGTATGTGAATTTTCCACTGTATTAGAAGGATACAGTGATGAATCTTTTCTATTTGAAATATTATTTACATCTACTTATTAATTAGTACATTATTTTACATTTAATAGAGTCAAACTAGCCGTTAACTAGCCATTGGAATAATGCCTATATAAACATGGTCTTTGGAGAGGGAAAGACATACTTTCTAACGTAACTTTTTGAATCATCTTCTTCCTTCAATATGTTGGGTTTTTTCCTTGAATTTTCTGCTATTTTTGTTCCTAGTTTTATAACTGGAAGAACTTGTTGAATCTTGGGAGATACGCCTAATTTTATTTATTATTGTGTGGGCGAAATATCCTTAAGGACAGTGTCCTTGATACGCCTAAAGCTAACTCCTATTCTCCATAATCAACTTTTTCAACACCCCCCCCCTCCCCCTGCTCTTCTGAATTATCGCCGTTGAAGAAGTCAGGTGCAGAGCTACCCTTCTGCTTATAACAGTTTCGACATAACCCAATAACTTTGACCAAGTCCCTATAATTTTATTTTTTTTAAAATTCAAAACTCATAAACTCAAAAGTGCAGCTGTATAGGTGTTACTCAATATAACAATTGTCTAATTTTTTTCCCATGGTTAAGTTCCATAATATTTTCATGGAGACGAACTGTGTTTTTCGATTGAGATGACTGAGACACTAGACTAAATTAAAACCAAAGCAAGAGATTAAATTTGGAGGAATAATCGTATAATATTCTTGTTTTCTCCCATAAAAGTACGGCAAATTAAATAGGGCCATGGCTAGTTGTATTATCAATAGATTAACATTTAAAACTTGGCAGAACGGTGGGGAGATTTAAAAAAGAATCTTTAGAATATAATAAGCTGGGAATTAATTATAGTTTAAAGTTGAACGAATATCAAAGGTGCACGCCAATGCGCCATATTATTATATTGGTGTGCGTATCTCGTCCCTAGTAGTAGTAGGCTTCCACCATTATAAATACAGTGCGGAGCTGTTTCTGCCTTGTAAAAGGAAAATTGTTAAGAGAAATTAGAGACACCTAAAAATATGATAGGACCAAGTCGTCCATTGTTCGTTCTATTTGGGTCATCAATAGTGCAGTTAAGCTACGATTTTCATGGTTGGGGTGCAACCCTCACTAGCCTCTACTCTCGCAAGGTATGTCTTCCTTTGTCCTTTGAGTTAATAATTCTTATCATATGCATTAGATAAGTGTGATTTGCTCCTAATTAGTCGTCCACTAAATATACCTTCAAAATTTTCTCGATGCCACAATAAGAATCTCAATTAATTCTAAGCAAGTCCTTTTCTATACAAAAGTTGAAGGTAATATTTTCAGCTTTAAACTCATCATTTTATTCTATACTTGAAACAGGCTGATATTTCATTGCGTGGATATGCTGGTTGGAACTCAAGGATGGCTCTTCAAGTTTTGGACGAAGTTTTCCCAAAGATATACCTGTCAAAACGGGCTGCCAGCCTAGCTTACATGGGCCTTGGTATTTGAAGTTGGTTGGGCGGGGTCGGCTAACAATTTTGATGGGTCTTAAAATGGTTAGCTCAACCCAACCTTATGTAGGCCGCGACCCCATAAGGACTTAGTATATTTTGAGTTTGAGCTATATTTTTTGTTATTTTTTAGTTCCTTTTTCCTTTTCCTTTTTATATTTTTAATTCAATATTTTTTTTATTCGGCCCACGTGCGAATCAGCCCAACCTCAGTCAAGCTTCACGAGCTGTGCGCTTACTTGGGACGGTCTAAAAAAAATTCGTTTTTAAATGGGCTCTAAAATTTTAACCCTACTAAATCACGGGTTAAGTTGGACCCGCCCAACAAGCCAAACCCATATTTACGGCTTTACTCAAAGCTACCTACTTTACGGAATATTGTGTACATGTTTTATTTTGAATAATTAACCCAAATAGCCGTCCACCATATCACTTAAACTAAAGATAACCACTGAATGTATAATATATACATAATTTATGTATTACATGTGTATAATTATGTATAATCAATGTATAATTAATGTATAATTTATGTATATGGCTAGAAAAAGTAAACAATTAATATGGCTGGCTATTTGTGTAAAGATCCCTTTTATTTTCAATGATTTGTGTGCCTCATCAACATCCTACAACTTGCTAGAAAAAAACTTCCTACAAAACATTAAAACAACTTTTTTAGATGGACTCTTCTTTTGCATGAAAATAATAGGGATCTATATCTAAATAGATTTATTGTTTATCTTTTTTAGTTGGTATATATAGTCTATACATTATTTATATATGCTTCCACGCATGATTATACATATATTGTATATCACTCGCCATTTTTAATTTAAGTTGTTTGATGAGAGACTATTCTAGTTAACTTTAGAATAAATATAAACCAACTAAAATGTTGTGAATTTTATCCATGCATTAGGCAGAATTAATGAAAAAGCTAAAATATTCGAAAATTACTGGTTCGATTGTCAGCGCGTAAGGCCCATTAAAAGGGAAAGCGCTCCCTATCAAGGGTTCCATTCCTAAGGCTCGAGCCAAAGCCTCTAGTGAAGTTTAGAGAGATTTTATTTATCCTACCACACCCCTTAGTGGTAGCTAAAATACCCGTTTTCATTAGAGTTAAACCCAAGAGTTTAGATCTAATTGGCTAGTCGATATTCCAAAATTTATGATAATATATATTTGTCTTCCTCCAAAGAAAATTTTATTGATCTGGAATCGTAATCTATTATTTTTTGTTTAATTCCGAGGTAGGATGCGGATGTTAAACCTTCTCTTGTCATACTTTATTTTGGTGGAAATGATTCAGTAGATCCTGAGTTTCCTAGCAGCGCTCATGTCCCTCTTCAAGAATATGTTGAAAACATGGGGAGAATTGCACTTTATATCACGGTAAATATTTAATCATTTTTTTTTTTGTAACTAACTTTTGTATTAACACCTTTGAAACTGTACAAAGCTATAGCTAACTAAAACAAGCACAACTAGCTATCTAAATACCAACTAAAACAATAACTCTGACCTATACAAGCCAGTATGTAAACTAGACTCTAGAATATAAAACTTTGCATCAAGGTCTTAACTCTTGTTGATGCTCTCACATGACAAATATAGGCAATTTCTCGCATAATTATCTCCCAATTGCGATACTTCTTTTCAAAGATCCTTTGGTTCCTCTCCATCCATAAAGCATAAACACATTCAGCATACACCATTTTGAAGATTTGAGCTTGCTGCGATTTTCCTCTGGCATTGTAGATAACCCAAGCTATATGCTGGTCCCAAGTCTGTAAAATCTTCTCCTTTCTTTGCATCCATTATTGCATTATGCTCCATTTAGACTTAGCAAATTCACATTCACCAAAGAGATGGTCCCTTGTTTCCACATGATTTTGGCATAGTATACAAGTCAGGTCAACAGTTAAACCTCAAGCCACCATTCGATCGGCTGTTTATAGTCTATCTTCTAGTTCCAGCCACATTGTAAACATTGCTTTAGGCTTAGCATAATTTCCAAACATGAGACACTTCCAAGGCACCGGCACATAGATAAGAATAAGTTGCTTGTACACAGTGTTGATCATGCTTCGAGTAGTTCTAACAGGTGGTATTAATCCCAGGTTCTCCTTGTTTTTCAGTAGTTTCCTAATGATCCAACATGCCTGTGAGGGAATTGTTATGTCCCTTAGGGGTTTGCCTTTGATATAATACGCATGGATCCATTGAATCCACATTTTATACTGTTTGTGTGCAATGTCCCAGCATGTTTTGATTAGAGCAGCTTGGTTCCACAATTTAATGTTTATAAGATTAAGTCCTCCCATCGACTTAGGAGTGCATACCTTATCCCAAGCCACTAGAGCTTTCTTGGTGAGTAGTATATTAATTCCAGACCAAACAAAACTTCTGCAATAAGCATCTATAGTTTTCAATACCTTAGCAAGTATTAAGAACATGTGAGCTCAGTAAGCCTGAATTCCAAAGAGCACTAATTTGACCAACTGAGTTCTGCCAGCATAGGACAATTTTTTTGCAGTCCAAGAAGTTATTTTGGCAGTGATCTTCTCTATAAGGGGTTGCCACTGTAGTAATGTAAGCTTTTTTGTTGATAAAGGAACCCCAAGATATTTGAAAGGGAGAGTACCATGCACAAATCCTAAGTGTCTCAGTATGTTGTCTTTATCTTCTTGCTTGACTCCACCAAAATACACACAATTTTTGCCTAGATTAGCTTGTAGTCGTGATGCTTCAGAGAATTGGCTGAAACACTTGTGTAAAGCAGTGATAGAGGATAAGTTCCCTTTGGCAAAAAGAAGCTGGTATTCCTAGCTTTGCACACCTTGGATGGAACTGAAAAGTTCTGTTATCTTTTAACTCATTGAGCTTCCTGCTTAGGTACTTCATAGCTACTGCAAACAAAAAAAGGAGACATTGGGTCCCCTTATCGAAGGCCTCTTGCAGCATTGCATGTCAATTTTAATCATGCATCTGGAGATATATTTTTTTTCTGGTGTAAGATTTGATAAGCTCATGAGCAAGAATGATATTGTCAGCTATTTTCCTGCTTAGAATAAAACCTGTTTGGGCCTCACAAATAATGTTTGTTACCACACCTTGCAATCTGGAAGTTAGTATTTTAGCAATCAATTTGTATAGGACAGTACATCAAGCAATGAGTCTATACTCCTTTACTGAATTTGGATTGGCAGTCTTTAGGATCAGAGTAATGACAGTACAGTTTATTGCCTTATACAATTTTTCAGTTTTGAAGAACTCCTTTATGGCTTCCACTACCTCTGTTTTCACTATGGGCCATACTTTCTTTAAAAAGTAGGCATTGTATTCATCCACACCTGGTGATTTATCATTTCCTATTGATGATAATCCTTCTTAGATCTCTTGTTCAGTCACCTCTGCACATGACCTTAGTCTTTGTTGATGTGAGATGGTTGGCCCTTTTGTCATAGTGATCTTGTTAACTGCTGGCAAAGTTTGAGCAGCTGATCCCATCAATCCTTTATAAAAGTTCACTATTTCCTTCTTGATTTCCTTTGGTTCAGACAACTTCTTGTTATTGAGAGATGTAAGTTCTGCTATCTGTTTCTTTTGTGTTCTCTCCTTGATCAGAGCTGAGAAGTATTTGGAGTTGGGAATCTCCTAGTTTGATCTAGTTGGCTTTGGATTTCTGCTGTAGTGCACTTTCTTGAATCATGGACCATCTCTCCAGGTTCTGTATTAAGTCTCTGTCTTTTCCCAGTAGATCAGTAGTACACCTCATGTGTATTTGTTCCTGAGTGATTACTAAGTCTTGCCTGGCCTTTTCAATTTTCTGAGTAATGAATTTGAACTCTTCATTATTCAGTTTCTTTAGTAAAGGTCTGAGATTGTTCAGCTTCATCCAAATGTTCTTCATCCTAGTTGTATTATAAGACTGTTGCCAAACATGCATGCTCTACAATGTTCCAGAAGCCCTCATGATTGGCCCATACATTAAAGAATTTAAAAGGCACCTTTATGTTGTTATTAGAAGAGGTCAATGTTAGTAGAATGGGAGCATGATCTGATATAAAAGATATATCATCTATAAAATCTATCTGATCCTATTTGTTTATGGACCATGTATAGTAGTCTCTTTTCCATTGTAACTCGGTTAAGAGTAATATTTACTCGTTTTCACTGTTTAAATCAAACCAAGTAAACATTTTAAGTTTTTAACTATAAGCAGTTAAAATATGTGTATGCAAAACTTGTTGTATATACGTTGAATGAGGGTAATTAAGTTTTACTCAGTTTATCATTATTTGAAACCTTTTCCTAGCTATTACTCTTACACTTTATTTGGTATTTCTAACATAAATCTTGTCACGTATATCACTTACAGAGCCTTTCAGAAAATACTCGTCTGATTATGCTAAGCGCTCCTCCGGTGAACGAGGAACAAATTGTTCAATTTTATGGGTAATTTAACTCCGATGCTGAAAATGACTTCTTGATTAATTTTTAAGTAATTTAAATGATGTTTAAAAGTATGTATTCATCTTGCTTCTGACCATTACAACCTGAAATTAATTATCAGCGATAATCGAGGTAGATATAACGAGACCTGCCGCATATACTCAGAAGCTGGTATAAAATTAGGCCAAGAATTAGGCGTGAAGGTTATAGATTTTTGGTCTGCACTTCAGGAACGCCCAGATTGGTTGACTACAGTCTTCTGGTAAGTTGAAATCTCTACTAATTTTAATCTCTACTTTCGTGTTAATATATGGAGTAGTAGTAAATAATATTGTTTCATTTTGAATCAAAGAAATTAAATTATATACATTGCGCGTAAATTTTGTGTACATTACTAGTAAATTTTAGCGTGTGATAATCGGTTAATTACCATTTTATGAGAATTAAGTTAGTTTTTTAATTTTGTGTTTGTGTAGGGATGGGATGCATTTAACAAAGGAAGGAAGTGACATTTTGGTAAAGAAAATCTCGAGGGTACTTAGAGAGGTAGACTGGGAGCCAAGCCTACACTGGACAAAAATGGCTGATGAATTTTCTGATATTATCATACCACTCGCTTCTGGGATGAACCTTGACAACTGGCAGAATGAGTATATTGAATAAAACTCTAAATCTTTTAGGTGCATATATTAACATATGCAAGAATAAGACATGTACTCTTCATTTCCCGTTTTCTTGTTTGATCTTTTAAACTACTACTAATAAAAAAAGGAATTAGCACGGACAAATTAAATTCTGTAGCTAAACAGAAAAATATTAGCAACGGATTAGTGAAAGATTATCAAGAAATCATTTTAGTTACAAACGATTTAGCGACATATTAGCGATGAAGTTATTAACTAATTCCAGTATATTTTGTAGTGACTCTTCTGCAAAGGAATAAATGTAATCCCTACGAAGGTTTTGCCTTTTCCTTGAAGGGTTTGCTTTCTTGTAGAATGCTTCTGTGCGTGCTACTCCTATGTGTTATGGAAAGTTAAGTAATATATTGCAAAGAACACTATTCTGATGTTCATTTTGGAAACTAACGATTCATTTATTAGTAAAAATGCGACTTTAATTTGCTCTCCTGTGAGGAAGCCCTTTAGTTTCTCCATTAAGCTTAAAGACACCGTTCTATATAAGTACCAAGCTAAATCACTAGGCAGGGTATACATATGTCGGTTTTGGTTCGGGTTTTCTAATTACCAAACAAAACCAATTGTATCGAGTTATTAAATCTAAAGACCAAACCAATAAAAGTCGGACTTTTTAATCTCGGGTTTTCGGGTTGTTTCGGGGGGGTTTTCCATATAGTTTTCATAGCACAAAACATAGAATTTGTGCTCCAAATATTTCTTTAATCCTAGTAAGACATAACTATATGAGGTGTTTCCAAGAAACTAACATAAAATATGAGATTAGTCATGGCATTGTATTAAAAAATCAACAATAAAGATAATAAAATCGCATAAAATAAATATTATTAATAAGCCATAATGAAAATAAACATAATCTTAAATTACTAAGTTGCTAAAATAAGTATGACTAATAAGTACTATTATTTACATGACTAATTAAGTTTTGCATTTTATCTAAACCATGAAAAAACTAAATAAATAGATATGCCATTCCTAACAATTGAATTGAATGTCTTTTGTTAACATTAATATTTATTTGATTATGGTTTGGGATTTGTTTGAGTTACTACCATTTATGGACTATAAAACTTATTGGAGCATTCAAAAATGATAAGTCCAAGCTTGAAATAATACGTTAAAAGATAAAATTATGAAAAAGTTCAAGAAATATTGATAAACTACATTAGAATAAATATATATATATTTAAAACTTTCATAAATGTAATGTCAGGTTGGTTTGGTTTTGGTTTGAATTTTTTTAGTTAAAACCAAACCAAACCAATTATGGTCAAGTTTTTTTCCCAACAACAAACCAAACCAAACCAAACCATAGTCTGGTTTTTTTTCTCGATTTGACTCGGATTATCGGTTTGATTCGGTTTATCGATTTTCTTTGTACACCCCCTATCACTAGGTATCGACAGCAAGGAATAACAACATATAGACTTAGGTCTAATGTAATCCCTAGAAAATATAAGTTTTGGGAAATTATCCTTTTAGGAAAATAAGACCCAGGTCTAATGTTTGCTCATATAATTTTAAGTTTGATTACAGATTATTCGATTGTAATCTAGCGTTTGCAATAACTCATAAAATTTTAGACCGATAAAATTTTGGTTTGCTAAAAAATGATCTTTAGACCATGATTTAAAAAATTTATCAGTTACAAGAAAAACAAAAAGAGGGTCATTTCCTAAACAGTTGATACAGAAAGGGACAATCGGCAAAAGTTTCATGTACCGTTTGGATCGGGAGAAATTCAAAAATAGGCAGATTTACAAGTGGTTATTCAAAAATAGCCACAATTTCAAAAGTCATCGAAATTTAGTCACTTTTCATGTAAAGATAAATCTGAACGAAAACACTATTCAAAATCCAGAAAATACTCCAGCATAATATACTGGAATTCTAGTATAATATATTGGAACTCCAGTATAATCCAGTATACTTTATTGGAACTCCAGTATACTGGAGTTTGGAGTTCCAGTATACTTTGCTGGAACTCCAGTTTAATATACGGGAGTTCCAACAAAGTATATTGGAACTTTAGTATATTATACTGGAGCCACCAAAATATATCGGTCCAACATAATATGCTGGAAGTTCATACACAGATGCACCGAACTCCAGCATATTATGCTGGACCGGTCTCTGTTGCAGCAAAATAGTGACTATTTTTTAATGACTTGACAAACGCCGGCTATTTTTAAATGACCAGTCCGAAAACTGGCTAGCCCGTGCTATTTTAACGTTTGGATCGGGAAAACCCGGCCCTTTTGTTGTAAGGTTACTCCTTGAGCTAATTTTGTCATTTTCATTTGCCTTATTCTTCTTTTTTTCCTTCATGTTTTTCTGGTCAGAGCTTCTCAATGTCTCATCTCATATGCGAGTCCACAAGTACAAATCAACCATTGGCAAGTACCTTTCTTAGTAAAGACAAAGCACATACTTCCTCCCTTTCAATTTATGTGAACATATTTTTTTTTTAGTCCATGTCAAAAATAATGATCTTTTTCTCTATTTAAAAATAATTTACCTTTATGCAATGATTTATAGCCACACAAAATATATGTGCCTTATTTTACACCACAAATTCAAAAGTCTTCTCTCTTTTCTTAAACTCCGTATCCAGTCAAATGAGTTCACGTAAATTGAATTTAATTTCCATGCATTTTAATATTAAATAGCACGTGGGTTATTAATTATTGGCCTGCTGGAGGAGTTTTATTGACAAACTACTACTCTGTTTTGCATTTGGTAATGCTAAATTTGTGTTAGACAATCAAAATTACCTTATAACAAGTTAAAGTATTGATAATAAAAAAATATATTACATCTGTATCTTTAATTAAGTAAAACCCTAATTAAAAGCTCATATTGAAGTACAAAGCAAGAAAGAAAATCATTCACTTCTAGTAACCAACTAGTATGGCCAGCCCGTGCAGCGCACGGGCCCAATAACATTGCTAAACAGTACATTATTGTTCCAAATAAAAAAGAAAATTTTTCATAAATCACTATTGAGAGATAAACTCAAGATGTACGAGAGCTTTTTGCTCTCTTGTTTCAATTTAAAACAATTGATCTCTTGTTTCAATACTGTATGTGAATTTGTTATAAAATTCTAATATAGCTATGTATGTTAATTTCTGAAAGTATAGCAACGAATGGTAAATACAATTATATTTGTTGTGTCGCATAATTTTTTCAAAAAACATTATATTTTTATTGGTCCTAACTATTATCCGAAATTTTTTTTTTAAAAGAAATTTATTTTATGATCATGTTGGCTAAATAACACGAGTTTCTGCCTAACTTATATGTTTTGAGAATATAAATTTTAACATCATAGCAAACATCAGTTTTTATATATTATTTCAAATGAAAAATGTGACAGTTCAAATAAAAAAAAATATAGATTGTATGCTACAACCCAAGAATTATTACGAAATTGTCCCCTTTATTTTATCACTTTTTTTTTTTTGCGTCCTTTATAAATTAGCTGGGAACTCTTCTTCTTTTTTTTCAACATTTGAACGTCAAATTCTTTTAGTTATCTTTCACTTTTGTGTCTACTTGTAATTGAAATTAATTTTTAAAAGTGTAAACTTTACGTTGATCCTCAAAGAATTGGATGGAAAAGTAATATATTATTGGTAAAGAAATTCAATCTCATCTAACTGGCCTTTGTTATCACTTTTCTTCATATTTCTTTAAATGTATTTACATTAGCTTTCCATTTAATTTGCAAAGTACCTTGTTCCTTTATACTTATGTCTACTTCAATCTATAGTTCGAAGACAATTATGTTATTAGTATTGATTGACAACTTTGCATCTAGATGTTCAACCAAAGACGATTTAAAAGATCCCAAAGTACCTAACAGTGACAATAGAATTAACAAAATCAAGCATCGCAATGTTTAAATCTCTTCATAAGTCCTGGTAAGCAAAATTAACATGCTACACTCCTTTCTATTTGTCATTACCAAAAACTTTTTGAAAATCTTTGGAATATATTTTAATCCATGGTTGATTTGAAAATTATTTAATCTTTGAGTTTTTACTTGTATATAAAATGATCATCTCTTTAAAACTATTCCCTTCGATTACAGTAATTAAAATATCACTGTTCAAATTGAACAAAAATAATTTATCACAGTTAGAACAATTAAAATAATTGCCAGTACAAATATGGATGCAAGAACCTAGTGATAATATTTCCTCAATGAAGATCGACTCCTCTTCGAATTATATGCTCCTTCCTTGATTTTTCGGTCTCTAAATTTCAAGCAAATTGAGATATTAGAGAAGGATGACATTTTCTAGAAATAACTTTTTTTTAAAGTTTTGATCATCCTAAATCTCAATTAACCATATCACAGACCTTTAAACAAAATGAGATATTAGAGAATAAATGTAATTTCTAAAAAGAGCCTTTGTTTTATCCTCTCTCTTTTTTTTAAAGTTTTGATCATCCTAAATTTCAGTTAACCCTAAATGGCTAAATCCTAAACGTTAAAAGAAGAAGATATTAGGGGGAAAATCTAGTTTATATATTACTTGTACTTTTTCTAATTTTACTTAAAATCTTTAGATTATCGGAGTTAACAAGTTTACTCTAATATCAAATAGAACAATTTTTACATTTTCTATGTAAGGTTAGTTGCCTAAGTTTTTGCTTATGCAAACTTAACTACTTTTTCTGGTCCCTATTCTATAATGTATTTTTTACAATTAAACTAACTCTTCCTAACTACATGTATCAAAGAGGTTAAACTAACTAAATAGGAAATGAAATATTAAGGCTGCAATAAGTTATGTGTAAAATAAAGAATTAAAATGGGGTCCAGTGTTGTAGTATGTGTTTACGTGTGACAAGGTGGATGTTCCGGGGCCCACGTTTAAGAGAAGTGTACTCCCCTATATCTCTCCGGTCCACTTTTATCTGGTTTGTTTGTTTGTACAGATACAACGCAATAATGTACAGCAGTACTAAAGCAGATAAATCATGAAATACCAAGAATATCGCATGACAGGCAAGCATGTTGACGGGGTCCTGCCTGCTATTCCCTCTTGTAAGAAGTAGGAATATAGTAATTTCTTCGACTGTATTGAATGGGCAACTACTTATAATGTAACATTTGAATTATACCATCTACAACAGAAAAAATAAACCAAAAAATAATTATGGCAATAGAGAGATCGAATTTTGCAAGAGGTGCTAATTTCTACTTAATATCAATAAATTAAGAACATGAAAACTTATCTCTAGACATACAAGAAATGAAAATTCTAACAGAGGAAATCCAACAAAATACATATGATACATATGCATCCTAGTTGCCAAAAAAAGAAAACAAAATAGAATAGAATCCCTAATCCCTTAGCTTTAAAAAGCTGAATTTAGCAGATGCATGTGAGAATAATGAGTCTATCTCATATTCTTTTTTTTTTTTCTTTTTCAAGAAAGTAAAAGCATGCTAGTGATTAGGAGCTTCCTTTGTACATTAAGATGAACATAATATAGCATAACATAAAAACATTTCAAACAAGGAAAATAATTTAATTATCTAGGGGATTTAAGTGATTCAATTTGAGATTTGCCACAAGGACCCTTTGTTCTAATGAAAGCTCTATACTCATTGAATGTCATTGAAGAATATAAGGCAGGACAATCCTTTGTCACAAGCTCATCTGCAGGTTTAATAAGTTTGTCACCTCCTGGATTATAGAAGAATGCTAAGGACACTCTCTCTTTGGCTGAATTAACAATCACCCTGTGCTCCACGCTTTTGTATATTGCATTACTTAACACCTGCATGTAGGCATTTTTATGATGAAGGTTATTGTACGACTATATATATCTACCAAAACTTAGACAAAGTATATATGATCTATATATAGTTTCTAGTTCTTAATCTCAAAGTGTTGTTAGTCTATACAATTCACTAAGTGAATTTTTGGGGAAAAGAAAAACGAAATTACACTATTTTCTAGGTAGAAAGAAATATACCTCTGTATTATTTTATATGACATACTTTTCTATTTACTAATTTGTTACAGAAATAGTGATAACTTTTTATATTTAAAAAATCTTTAACTTTAAATATCGAGCTCATTTGATCCTTGACATGTTTTTATAGCCACAGAAATATCATGATAAAGGGTACTCTAATATATGTACAATTTTTTTTTTCCTTTCTTAAACTTGGTGTGTCGTCATATAACGTTGTATAAAAAAAACGTAGAGAGCAACAGAACTGAGAGAGTTACCTGAATTTGATCTCCAATATTGACAATGAAGGCATTTGGAATTGGTTTAACAGTTAGCCAGTTGTTGCCGCGGCGGATTTGGAGGCCGACGATATCGGCGTCAGGGAGGAGAAGGGTGATGCCACCAGGGTCGGAGTGGGGAGAGAGGCCAAGTGTAAGGTCTGGCTGTGGACATTTTGGGTAAAAATTTGCTCTTAAGCATGCACTAGTATCACAATCTCCTCCAAAGCTTTGGTGTAGATAATCCTCGTTTAATCCAAGGTTTATCGATAAAATCTTAGTTAATCTTCGACATAGTTTCACCAGCTCTAGCCCATATTCCGCGGCCAATTTCCTGAAATCATTAAAAATATTACTCCTATTTCCTTTATAGTCTGTACAAAAAAAAATGACATATTTCTTTATTTAGAAATAATATTACCTTTACGCAATGATTTATAGTCACACAAAATATATGTGACTCATTTTACACCACAAGTTCAAAAAATATTTCTCTTTTCTTAAACTCTGTGTAGAGTTAAATAAGTTGACGTAAATTGGAACTTATAGAGTATAAATAGAAGGGGAGAAAAAAGAGAAAAGAAATGATATTTCTAGAAATGTATATTTCCACGCTTAATGTGATTCATAGAAGAATAGAAGTCAACTTTGGCGCATAACGATCTTGAAAAAGTTGACAAAGACTGAATCTATGTCCATATATGTAATGTCATTACTCCTCTGGCATGAGTTGCTATAGTAGGGGTAGGCTGCTTGAACAATGACTGTGGATCCCAAACTTATAAATTCTTTAAAAAGAATCAAACTTTAGTTCTTTACTAGCGTGTTTACGTCATTATGTACAGTACTACTGGTGTAAAAAGGTTTTACACCATCAAAGTCAGCCAAGAATATTTACATGTAGGTTGTGTGGGGTAAGAAAGAAAATATTTTTCATGGAAAATAAATATTTTATCATTTATTTTTCTCTTGTTTGGTTGGTGAGTGAAATTTTTTTTTTAGAAAATATTTATAAGTGTTTGGTTAGAAAGTAGAAAATATATTTTCATAAATTTTTTGTTTTTCTACTCTCCTCACCCCTTCCCCAAGTTTCCTTGCTCCCCCTCCCCCAAATACCCAACGTTTTCGGGACTCTATTTTTTTCAAGAATTTAATTATTCTTCTAAAAATTAACACAAATCCAAAAAAATTAATGTGCTGCTTTACTTTTTTACGCAAAAACAACATTGAAATTTGTGGTTCAAAACCAAAAGGAAAATACTATTTTTTTGGTTGAAAAGAAAGGACTCTTTCTACAACATAAAAATAAAGTACTCATTTTATTAAAATAAAAAAAATATTTTTTCTATATCACGAGAAGAAAATACTCATTTTTTGTTGAAATGAATGAAAATACTTTTTATATATCATGAAAAGAAAATATTTTTTTTGTTGAAATAAAAGAAAATATTTTTTCTATGTCATGAAAAGAAAGTACATTTTTTGTTAAAATAAAAAAAAATACTTTTTTATATCATGAAAAGAAAATTCTCATTAATTGGTTGAAATAATTTTTTTACCTATAACATGAAAAGAAAGTATTATTAATAATATTTTTATTTGGGGTGAGAGTGGGGTGAGTGGGGTGGTGAGGTGGGAGTGGG